AACCTAAAATGTGAAAGTAAACGAAGTAAAGACATTTAGACATAATTAAAGGATAAGCTTAAGGATGAATTACCTCTATTGGTTCAAAAAGCCTTTCAACGGCCTCTTTGAGCTCAAAGAATGATAACAAAATTGCTAGTATAGTTGATATAAAGACTGCTACAACTTCGAATCTTTCATAGCCAAATGTATACTGATTTAAGCTTGGAGATTGGCGATTGGACCATACGCTCACCAATGCCGTCAAAAGCGCTAGTAGGTCAAATACAAGCAGATTAAAGAAAGAGGCCAGTGAAATACTGAAAAAGAAAAGCATACATTTTAATATGCGTCTGAGAACATTATAAACGAGCATACATTTATGGCATAGAATTCAGACCTGTTCATTGAAGATGAAAACACCATCAAGATAGCTGTTAGAATTGACACAAGTAAAATTAATAACGATATGCGTCTGGCAGATTGATCTGAGGCAACAAGATGTTTCAGCTCACATATTGCAATATAAACACATTTTTTGGCCCCATGAAGGTCGTTTCTGAATCCGGAATAAAAATTTCCCATTGCATACCTAGATTGAAAGGACAAAAATCATATAACATTGTCCTGCATAATTCCTTTGTAAAAACAACTACACGTTTTTTAACACTTCACTTTAAGTTTATTAAATTTTGTTATGTACAAAAATACAGAAACGTATAACAGTTATTTAACAACGCGCGAATGTTATTTTAAACAGAATCAGAAGGAGCTTCTTCAGATAATGGTTCCATTATAGTTCGTTTAGAAGGCATTTCAGGAATAGCCGGGCAAATTAAAGAAGATGCAGCCAACATGCCCTCTTCTTCATCTCTTTTAGCCTCGATTAATTTTTCTCTTTCGAAAATAACATTATACTCAGCAGGAAAAGCCTCAGAGCATGAAGATTTAAGGGCACGAATACGCTTAAAAATAGAATCAAGGTCATGCTTCATTGTAGTCAACACACGAATATTCTGGCGAATTTCACTTGAGATGACGTCATAACGCATAGAAGACAACTCGGAAAGAGTACAAAGCATTTCGTTGTTTTTCTCAAATCTATTTAAAATCCTCTTTTGTGTTGCCAGAATTGCACTCAGATTGTCATGATCAATGATTGACAAGCATTCATCAGCTATAACTGATGGTGAAATATCTTCTGCAGCCCCCATAAGGCATAAAAATGAAGCAACCCAAAACGACCAGCCCCGCTGGCCAGGGGACAGGCAGACGACAAAACTAATTGATTAGAGCTCGCATTATTAGACGTGATATAAGAATGACGTCGTCAAAGTTTCCAGTTAATTAATATAATATTTATTTGATATCATATATTATCTTAAAAATTATTATAATACAAGATTTTAGGTAAACTATGCTCTATTCACTAATAAAATATTTTCAATCCTAGGTGGCTCCTTTATTCTCAGCTTACGTCTGAGAGTCGGTACTTTTAAAGATTTTATTCTATAAACAAATCAAAAAAATACTGGTTTTTAAATTTTTCTCCCTAGCATTACTTTTGAACGCCTCAATCCCAGGTTGTTTACTCTGATTGAATCAAAGGGATTTCTCTCCAATCCGAAGTCATATAAATCAGTTGAGAATTTTGCTGATTACAGGAGCTTACCAGTTATTCCAAGATGTTTTTTATCCATTTAGTTTTCATCTCACAAAAATCTTTTTTTTCTAATAAAAGATTGGTCTCTTATTCTTCGTGGCCCTTTGACTGTGGTAGTATAATATAAATCATTTTTATCCACCAATAAAAATTCTTTAAAATACTTCAAATCAAATCTATGCATCATGTTTAATGAGGATATTTAATTTAACGCATTAATGGACCGTGTACTTAGTACATTCCTAGACGTTTAGCCGGCATCCTAGTCTACACAGCGCCTATTCTCTGATTTCCATGCTTGAGGATATCAGACATTGCCTCCTCAAGAATAGGAAAAATTAGATACTCCATTGAAATCTTTACTTAAAGAAATTTAGGAACAGGAAGCTGAAAAAGGCAGAGTTATCGTTACATTTGCTTATCGCCTTAGTAAACTCGGAGAAAATAAGGTTATGACAAGACCAACAAAAATGAGATGCCCATATCAAGGACCTATCATTAATCAGACTACAAGGGATCGCAAATAATAAATGGGTGAACAAAATTAGGAAATCAATTGAAGACATTTTTATTGAGCGTTATCTGCTCAACTAAACAACCGCAACTTTAGAGAACCATCAGGGAGATTCTGGTTGGAGGTCTGAGTCGGCTCATTAATTCCAGCAAATAAAAAATGAGAGAAGGAGCGAAATAAACAAACAGGCGTGATACTTACCCAATATATTCACAGAAAAGGAAACACCTCTGGAGAAGTAGAGTCTAAAAAAATCAGATGCACCAGTGAGATATCAGGGTAGCAGGATGTGCTAGGATAGAATGAGAAGTAATAGAACAAATGTTCGGCAGAAAGTTGCTCAAGGGATCGACTATACTTGTCTCTTTGACGAATTTTAGTTTGGTGCTAAGAATGGAAAGGCTCACTGACGATGCCAACTACGATGTCAGCTACGCGTCTGTAAATGTAACAAGTATACAGTCAAACACTAAGAATTATCATAAATATTATAGAAGAGGGCTTTAGTCAAAGTGTGTCTAACTAAGTCTTTTTAAAAACATTACAAAATTGCGTAAACGAGGTCAGACAATTTATATACATCGATGGTAGTCTGTGACCCATTTAGAGGTCACATCCTCTTGTTCTTCTTCATATATACTATTTCAAAATTATCATTTTGTATGTTAGCTGCAAAACATTACCTCCTATGAACAAAATCTTTTTAAATTTTGTGGTATAAAACTTCAAAGAAATACCACTTGGAACTTTATTCCTTGCTTAAATAATTATCCAAAATGTA